TGTTTAGTCTATCCAAGCCTGTCCAGTGTCAAACCCCTGCTGTCCACAGTGTGCATACAAACACTGCATGTCACACTTTGACCCCGGCTTTATCACCAGTGCAGCAACAACAGGAGAGAGTGAAACCTCAGCAGCCTCTCGAGTCCATCAGTGAGCTGCAGTGAAAGCAGCTCAGGCGCTTTTCCTCCCCGCACACTGTTTTCCAAGAAGTCCAAAGTGAGGCTTGGTTCATTGCACAACATGCAGAGCACACACACACACACACACACAGAGTCAGAGGCTGTACAGGATGTGAACAGGTAGGAGAAGAGAGCCCCCGATGGTCAGAGCCTCGCAGTGTTTATCTGCTACAGTCAACCGTCCGCCCACCAACGCAGAGGAACTGCCTCGGTGCAGCCAGTCGCTCTTCTGATGAATAATGCAGGTTTTAGGGTTTTAGAGTTGAATGAGGCGGTTCCTGCTCGGTGCAGAACGCGGCTCATATCCGTCACTGAAAGGAACAGTCGATTAATCGCTCGCAGTCGCTGGCGCCAGCAGTGAATTGACTTCTGTCAGTCACCTTTGGAGGCCAAATAAACCTGCTGCAGATGAAAACATGAATCCTTCGGAGTGTCGACACTTTAAATATTTGAAGTTAAACTCGTATGTACGTTGTTTACTGTTTGTCGTCTGTCTGGTTGCGTGCTGTGTTTGCACTGGTGCCTTTACACAAATGAACTTTGGATAAGTAAACTTATTTTGAATTAAATTGACGTTATTGACGACGAGAACTCTAAGAACTATTTTGATCATATATTCATTAAGTCAAAGGTTCTTGGCTTTTATTTGTGATTTATTTGTTATCTGTGACAGTAAATTTAATATTTCTTTATTTTGGACTGTTGGACGAACGAAGAGGACAATCTGATGACATTGCTTTGGGCTTTATTAACTGAATAATTGACAGATATTAAGTCATTTATTAATCACGTATGCTAAACAGTTTTTTATTTTTTATTCATTGTAAATTGAATATCGTTGGGTTTTGGACTGTCTATCGGACAATAACTGATTTGCTGGACTAAAAGATTAATCTGGTACAAAATGACGTTTAATTGTCGTTGCTACAGTTGTCACTTTTTCAAAAAACACACAGAACTTGAATTAACTTGAAGAAATGTAGCGTAATCCAAACTACGTTGTAGCGTTGGTGTTTAGTTCATTTGAGCGGCAAGCTAACGAAACAAAATGCAAACGAAATGGCAGTTAGGTCAATTATCAGGCTGCTAACAGTTAACAATGTTACCTTTTTAATTTGAACTCAATGTAATCTAACTACACTGTAGAATTGATGTTTCTTTGTTCTTTCATGGTGCCTTCGCTGCTGTAAGGCTTCTGTAGTCTTTATGGATTCTTTTTCTATCTGTTGTTTGTTGTTGTTATTTGTTCAGAATGGCTCGTTTGTTTCCTCCATTTTTCATTAGCAAAGCGAACAACGGTCTTGTTACTGAGCACCGGTGTGGTTATACACTCTGAAACTTCGAATTCATGAGATTATAATAACTTTTTTGAGCAAAAAAGCTCTGTTAAACCCACTGTACGCTACCTGCTCGGCACTGAATGCCATAAAGATAAAGTTAGCAACTAGCTGATGTAGAAAGTGAAGCGTTTAGCAACTAAAGAGACAGATGTGTTTGTCAGGGGGTTGGTGGAGACCAAAAAAGAGATAAAACAAGAGGGAATATTGGACTTTATTTCATTATGTGGACAGAAATATGACTCCAAATAAATGCTAACGTTGCTCTGTGTCTGCAAGATGTATAAACAGATTTGTTAACACAACTTAAGACAATGAGTCAGTGTTGGACCTACAGCTTGTGAAACCGGATAAAGCACATTTAAGATCAAATTAAAGAAATAATTTCGACAAAAAAATTTTTTTTTTTCTTTTCGCTAAATAAAGTTCTCTAATGTTGAATATTGTCAGAATAAGTAAATAAGATTATAAACCTGACCGGACGTTTGATACCAATTTACGGCACTTGACCGTTTTCGGTTCTCCGTGTTATTCTACACTCCCTGTTACTTGCAGCCCTGCACAGATTGTACAACACAGCAGTGGTGCATAAACTGAAGGAAATGAGTACGAATCTGCAAAGCTAAAATAAGCATCATGTGCCCGTGTGTTTTATTTAAACCGAGCCAGACTGAGACTAAGTCCCTTCACCCTGCTGCTGGTTTCCTTCTATTTTCATATCGTTCGGCACAGATGCATGTTAAGTCTTGCGTCTCCTTTTCCAGCGCTGCCCTGTGTGGCCCCGGACAGTTTTTGCCCTTACCATTGTGCGCTGTGCTGTGCTGAGTGCGGCAGTGTGCTCGGCTGGCCGATGGCAGCGTGACAGCAGCCCTCCCAGCTCGTGTCCCCCCCTGCAGCCTCGGCCGTCCCTCGCGCCCCTGCACAAATGTCCCGTTTGTCATGCAAATGGAGGCTGCGTTTTCAGCTGCACGGATACTAAATTTGCTGTTTCGACGGGCCAATTGTTGGTCCAGTTCCAGGCCTATAGTGGCTTTTTTTGCTGCAATAACAGTAGAATTGTTCAGAGCATTGTACAGATGATCCACTAACTGTACTTCTCTTTTCATGCATGTGTGCATTCTGACTGCAGCAACGTCTCTGATGGCAACAATATTTGGGACATTTTAAATAATTCTTGTATATTCCAGCTTTGTCACAGGCGTGCGTGCGTGCAAGCAGTGGTGTGCGCTGCAGTTGAAAAAGACTGAGCGTGTGCTGAAAATGAGAGACACATAAATCCAGTTCAACCTGGAGTAACCTTCGTGGTCGTGATGGCAGCAGGTTTCCAGATTGTGCCGCTGAAATGTGATGAATGGGGGAGGGAGGGGTGCTGCACTGTAGCACAGCCTTGCAATGCAAGATAGTGGATGCAAATAATGTAATTTATTACAGGTAGATAGAGATCTGCTTATGGCACCCTGAGCTCCAGCCTGCAACTCTTCTGTCTGTTATATATATATATGAAGACTGAAGCTAAAGTTCCCCTTACTCTGGAGGGGAATATATTAAATATACACTTTAGTGGCACACGATACGTCAGCAAACGAGGATTTAATTATTGCCAAACATTTCACTCCCCACTTGGGTGGTGATTTAGGAAAGTGGCTGCACTGGCAGCTATTTTCTCGGGGTTGAATTTAGTTTAAAACTGTTGTAATTGCATGAGAGCAGTCTGAAGGTGCTCCTCACACTTACATTACCCAACAGTCAGCAGTTTTTACACCTGTTTGCTTTTTTTTGTTTCTTCACTTGTGTTTTTCTGCTTGTGTGGAATAAAACAACTCATCACCGGCTCCACTTAGCACCTCAGCAGTGATTGGAAAGAAGGAGCATTTCAGTAAATTGGCAACTTGTGCTTATTTCGTGTTTGTATGTGTGTGTAGAAAGTCCCTTTTTAAGTATGTGGAATATTGTAGTAGGACTGCAACTACGGATTATTTGCATAAGCAATTCATCTCCTGATGTATTTTTGAATAATTGTTTAATTTATAAAAGTCAGAAAATTGATATAATTGATAGATATAGTCCAAAAACGCTCACAGCGGATGCACATGCGGTTCTGTTTGGTTTCTGTGTACACAATAGGGGTGTAAGAAAATATTGAATTGTAATATTTTATTTAGCGATAGCGATGGACTTTCAGAAACTATTGATTAGATAGCAGTGTTGTAAATGTAAATTGATGTAAATGCCTGTGATGTTGATGTTACAGCGATGTGATGTGATAAATACATATATCACAATATATTTAATCGTAACCTGTGTATCGTGATACGTCAGATTCTTATCGATTCACAGCCCCAGTATAGCGACATGTTCTCCCAGGTTGTGAGCACGTACGCCAGCAAATAACGATATGTATTTAGTGGCCGCGGGGATGTAGAAGTTAAAATAGATCTTACATTATGTCTGTGTCTCAGATCTGTTTCAGGCTGCATCAGTGTAAGTGAAGTATTTTGCAGTCCATCAGTGTGAGTGTAGTCTCTCTGCTGGATCCTCTGATAAATTAATCTCGTGCATTATGGGCTGTGTATTGGCAAAAATCTATACACGATAAGATGCGTATCATGATTCAGTATACTGCGATGAAGGAGAACTTGATACAGCATTGGGGGCGAGCTCCGTTCATTCCTGCGGCGCATTAGGCCGACTTCTGCCGGCCAAGTTCCGCTTTAGCCGTCTGCTAACTTGAATGGAGGTCAAATTATTTAATCTACAGCTCTTCTAGACTTTCCAAATGTTATCGGACCAGAAGGATTAAATTCAGATGGAGAAGCGAGTGGTTTCGC